TTATTTATTTAGTTTTTCTTTTAAGATCAAATTTTCGTTTTTATTGGAAAAAAATAAACCACGTGCACTTTCAATATTATGAATAATTGCTGGTACTAAATCAACATTAACTCGGCGCCTCAGTACAACAAACTAAACTTTCCACGATCGATCACTAGAATGTTTTGTGGGCAGATGGGCAAGCGGGTACAGCTCTGGGTTCAAATCCCCTCAGTTATCGGAGATGAATCGAATCAGAATTCTCCTGATTCATGCTCCAAGTTTGTTTTTTAAGCCTGATGAGGCGGAGGTGACAAGCAAAGATGAGTGGAAACTCTTATTTGTACAGCAGATCACCCTGGGAGTTGTTGGATAGTCCTACATACAAATAAAGAACATGCATCCAGATCCCACCATCAAACTGAATAGAAACTGCGAAAAGTACCCAAGGAGGGATTCGTTAGCGACAAACACTACGTGAACCTTTCAGCTGATATACTGTCCTTATGTTAGTAATGGAAAATCAGGTACTCACTTTGCTGTGTTCAACGGCAACATTGACGAAGCGGTCCTTCTGGGAATACAAACATCGTATGGCGATATACTCTGATAGACAGACATATCTGAAAGAAATCCTTCGATATGGCCCGCAATCAGGCAGAAAAAGAAGAATAGAATGCGAAATTCAAGGCGTCGACTAACCTCTCTGGTCCGTGCTGCTTACACCACAAGTTACTCCACTATCAGATGAACCGTTCAATTTTTGGTGACAAAGGAGTTTTTCTTGATTCGATGCAGATTCACAGCCACTATTCTTCCTAAGCACAAGTCCTGACAGACGTTTGGCTATGGCAGCACTAATCGAGATATTTTCACTAGCCGACTGCTGTATGCGATCTAGAAAATGACTATGTAAGTTTCTGGAGTCAGAAAACTAAAAGTTCAACGAATCGGGGAAGAACATTAGACTCTGTTCTGCTTACGATTGGAGCATTTTGCACTTCCACTAAGTTGTTTTTTTGCTGTGTGCCACTTTGAATTCACACATTATCACACCTGTACAAACTTTTAGTGCCATTTGATGCCCCTACTAAGCCGAGCTGCGCCGAAAATTTTATCGTTGACGGTAGTTGTAACTAATTATCAGCGTTGGATGTATGTTATTATTGAATGATAATGTATTTGTTTTTGACAGCAAAGTCTGGCGCCGCCCACCTGGCACACCACTAGACAAACAAAAAAATGAATAAATAATAGCGCGCTGTTTCGCGAGCGAGCGAGGGTTGCCATAATAGCGCTTTCGTTAGTTTTTGCTGCTAGTTTCTGTGCACATACAGTTTATATCACTGCGCTGGAATTACAGCCCCACAGCAAAAAATCCGCGGTGATACGTGATAGGGAATGTCCCTCCCCCGCCAAGCAGATCTGCGCATAGTTTTATGCAGTATATAATAGTAACAATGAGAACAGTATCTAACTGACAATACAGAGGGCTCCTGGCTTCGTAGACCAACTCCTCTTCAATCATGGAAGATGCAGGAGGAACTCGTGGATGGCTGGGATCAGCCTTGGACCTGAAATCCATATTCTTGATCAGCTCCTATAGATGCCCACTTGGACACAGCTGTTCAAAGAAACTGGTGAAGTCAAAAAGATTCTAACTGTGAAGGAGCTTTATGCATTCACAGAATTCATGATCGCGGACGAACCCGAAGCGTAGCCCACTCAAAAGCACCGTCTTTCCCCACCCCCTCCCCCCCCCCGCTTCTTACTCCCATTCAAAATTGAACACCTCTAAACGCGAGTAGATCCAACTTACATGTGGAATCCGAGTATTGAACTTTCGCGTATACACGCTGTTGTCTGTCTTGAAAAATTCTCAGTAGCAGGAACCTTGGCGAGTTATTGCGAGGAGTAGACGATGCAACTGGTTGTGAGGGATACGAAGAAAACGATGATGATGCTACCAGAGCTAATTCGTGGCCATTATGACGGCCAACACAGCATTCAAGGCATATAACGCAGTCCTGAAAAAGTCAAAGAATAGGAGGCCACTAATCGACGGCGAAATGGATGCGTACCAAGTGCAACCCGGCTGACATGTGCTTATTCATATGGCGACTACAACTTATACATCGACGCATCGCCGTTATTGACCGTCGCGATTCGCATTCATCACATCTCACTGAACGCTGTTCCAGCCATTCATGACGTTGGCGTACACGCTTTACTACTTCTAAAAAGTTTTCAATACAGCAAATTACGCTTAAAGGAAATCCAGCAAGCCCAAACAAGCAAGCCACTGAAAACAGCCAGCATGCAACAACTGCTTCCAGAAAATCTGAGCCATTCCAATATATTAATTACTCAGGCTTGTGTTGACTGTACTCGCACGCGGTGGATCTGGCTAGCTAGTTCTACGTTCCCAACCCCAAATCTAGTCAAAATTGACGGGTCAGGGAGGGGGGGAGGGGTAGCGGCGACTATGATGATCTGTGCGCTCATCTCAGGCACAGCTTAAAGACAGCTCCCGCGATAAAAGTGTCATGGATAGTTGATGTTCAATTATGAAACAGTAGCTGATAAGTAATTCCCCAAAGAAGAAAAAAGCAAGAAGAGTCCTCAAGAACACCATAAACAAAATCGCTCCCTGACAGTCACACCTCCCTGCGGTCTCTGTGCAACCCCTAGCTCACAAATCTCTCTATCACATCTCGCAGTAGTTGATATCATCCAGTGCAAAAAAGAATACAAAAAACAACAAAAACGCAGAGGAAAAACTCTTGAAAAGGAAAAGAACATTTAAAACTCGGCGATGGGTCGAGCTTTTGCACCACGAAAGTTGGGTCGCCATGATTTTTACGCGTTTCACCTTGCAAAATAGGTTGGAGTTGGCTGTATATGCCCCTAATGAATAAAATGTATAAAGGAGAGCAGAACCATTCATGGGCACGAGCGCGGTCAGCAAAAAGGGCATGCGATTCCGATTAAATGCCGCCCCCAACAAAGAACAACTGAGCGGCCCTCCGTCAGAGGGCATCTAGCAAGTGGGCGGTCCAACTGGGCGGGCGTTAGAACTAGAACTTTCAGCGGCTGTAGCTCGCTAATCGCTCGCTGTGGAGTTGCGAGAGTGGGACAGTCTCTAGCTTGGGGGCTGTACTACTTGCACAAGGACGACCATGTACTACTTGAGCGCGGGGGCTGTCTTTAAATAGAGGAAGAATCACTCTCTCGATAAAAGGTGTGTATTAACTTCAACCGAAAGACCTTTGTTGAATGGCCTCTTGACGCCTCCCAACTACGATTAGCCGCGTACATACTTTGCGATTGAGGATAATCGGCGATTCGGAAGATTGAGCGATGTGACTCGGCGTTTCTGGCGGTTGCGCACCAAAAGAGTGGTTTGGTATTGACAGCTAGGAAGGGCGAAGATTCACTTATCTGGCGATCTCTCAAAATAACTGACTCCGAGTCTCCCGAATCACCGGATTGCTCAATCTCTGCGGACGTCAGATTAATCCCTGTGATTTCCACCGTAGTTTACCAATTGCCGAATCTCCTCAGTCGCCAAGTATGAACGGCCTTAGGCTACAGCCTCAAAATCTCCTATGGGATATGCAAAGAATTGTGTATTTGTAACGCTATAAATCAATTCTTAATCAAACCTGGTAAAAGAAAAGGGATGGTCAGGAAAAAAAAAGAAGAAAAGGAAGAGAGGAAAGAGGCAAAAAAGCGAACTAAACACGTACCGACAAGAGCTGTGTTCAAAACAAACGAAGAGTACTTCTTTCGACAGGATGGACACCTAAAATGAGCGAAAAATTTTCGAATGAAATCCGAAAACAGCATCCTTAAATGAGAACAAAAAAAGAAAAAAAATGCAGTCACCTAACCTTCGCTTTTTCGTCTGCTTCTCCTTACTCAGGCACATTAGGCAAAATGTATGAGCACATGGAAGAGAATGAGGTGCACAGAATCTGAGATCATACGAAGCTCCACATATACAGTTTGGAACGAGCCCTGCAAGGGCTTCAGTCGCTGACCACATAGTAAACTGAAAATGTAGCCGATTTCCGATACAAGCACATCGAACAGACAAGTAGGAGTCACTATTGAAAACGTAAGCCGGGTAATAACTAGGCTGCGTTCATACTTTGCGTCAGCGTTCTGAGCCTGCGGCAGCGTTTTTGGCGTTTTGGGCGCCTAGCAAAGTATAGACTTTGCCAGTGTTTTGAGCGTACCTATACATTCCTAGTCGC